TGTGCCAGGTTGTGGGAGGGTGGTCCAGTCCCCAGCTCCAATCCTCGGGTCCCTGGGCAGGCACCAAGGCACTGGCATGGTGTGCCTGGTTGTGGGAGGGGGGGTCTGGTCTCCAGATGCATTCCCCAGGATCCTGGGTAGCCCTGAGGCACGGGTGGTATACCTGCCCCAGAACTAATTTTTTGTCCTTTGCTTACTTCTAAAACGGGGAACTTCCTGTGGGAGCCAGTACTTGAGCTGTGTGGTTGAGGTAGATTGCTGCTTTGCTGCTGTTTCCCTAGGGAAGGTTTTTGTGCAGCTCAGGGTTTAATGGTTGATCTTATAGGTACTTCTGGCTCTCCAGAGACCTGGTAGATCTGTGTTGTGTAGAAACTCTGATCTGAGCCTGAGTCTTTCCATCAAACTGCACCCCATGCAATTCTGCATTCCTGACCAGTCTCCTCTGAGTGGTCCTGAGCTGATGCAGGGGGAGGGTTGGCTGTCCTTGCTGTGTCCCAGTGTTCTCCTGGTGGGCCCATCTCCCCGACAGCCCATGCTCCAAACACTCCTGTGCCAGTCCCTTGCGATGACTCACTGGCCTCTGAGTGGCTCCTTTTTTCAGTTGTCGTGACTCCTTGCTCCTGTGTGGGTCCATGAGAACCTTACTAGTGGTCTTGCTGTCCTGGAGGCCACCAAGGCCCTCTTCTCCCCTGCCGCTTCCAAGTAACTCCATCCGATGGGCACAGCTGCAGCTTCTGCTGGCTCCTGCTCTAAGCGCTCAGCAGCTTGAGCCTTAAAGCTGCTGCAGCCCAAGACACTCAGAGCAGTTTTTTCTTTCTCTCATCGTGGTTTCTCCCCCTTCATGAACTCCGTAGGTCTCTCCTCCTCTTCTCCTGAGCTTCAGCGTTCCCAGCTTGGCTGATGTTACATCTTTATAGTTGTATATTGGTTGATCTCTGGGAGAGAGTGACACTGGGGACAATCAATTCCACCATCTTGACAGGAACCTCAAATTATTACCTTTTTCCTTGACATGACTATTTCACAGCAGCACAAAGCTACGCTGTATCAAGTGAAATTGCACTTCACTATATCAAAGCATTTCTGTCTCTCCTGCTTTGGCCACACCTACCTCAACAGATGCTGGCCACCTACCACCCCCAGGTGAATCATTCACTATGGGGTCCAGAGCTGTGTGGCACCATCATCCCCTGGAGTTGGCCGACTGACCTACTAACTACAAAGCACTCACTCTGGGAGTGATGGAGTGTTTGAATCGAATGTAGTGATGCTCACAGGGATGCTGGAGAATCCACTGTGAGCACCAGGGCAAGTGGAAGCATCTCTCTGCCACATAGTAGATCGGCCATTTGCACCGGCTCTGTCAATCAAAGATTCCAAAGAGGCAACCCTTGAGCCAAATCTGTCCCTCAGAAATGTTTAATTTAGCACGTAGAGGTTTACATAAAATTAACTGCCAATATTTTAAATTCTGGAAAGTTCACATAAATATCCAGATTTTGTACTTCTCTTGAAACAATGGAAGATTTGTCAATACTGGGTCCACTCTCCTGCACATAAACAAGTGGCTGGGCCCCAGCAATAGCTGTCTGCTTGCACACTGGTCACAAACCATCCTCACTCAGAAATCATTTCCACGACAACCTCCCTCAGGCATTGTGTTCATGGTCCCTTCTACAGAGCCAGAATGGGAATGCCAAAATGTCAGTCTACCTTGCTTTTCAATAGCCCAAACATTGTGCTGCAACTATTTACTTATTTCTGTGTTCATTAGGGGTATTGTTTTAGGAACCTAAAATGCAGCATCACATAATCACAGCATTATTAATCCACTGCAAATGGCTTCACCCATTACTGTTCTTACAGCTAATGTCTTGATTTCCTACTTATGGCAGAGACTCTCTTCAGACAAGAACCCACCTGTGTGAGCTGCCAAGACCTTGTCAGAGAAAGGGCTGTACAAATTTGCACTCTTCCCTCCTGCCATCTCTCTTCCTGCTTTTCCCCAAGCTCCACCAGGCAGTTCTGATTCCCAGGAATGCTCTGGCTGCCTGCCCTGGCGCTGACTTCTCTGGGTGGGGCAGCATGCTGCCGGGTGCAGGGCTTTGGCCCTGGAATGTACTTCCTCATTGAAGTGCCAAAGCCTGAACTGGGCAGATTCTAAACACAATGGCTTCTTAGCTACCAGGCATTTATTACTCTTGATCAAGAGATGAGTAAAAGGCTTTTTAAACTTTCAGAGAATTGGGATGCAGGTTAAGGGGAATAGTCATCCATTGTGATTGAATTACTCTAACTTTAGAAGAAATAAAAGAATATCTTCTAAAGTAACAAGTCATGTACTATAATTATACAATCAAAAAGTAACAATTTTCTTTCTAACACAACCTGGGTTTTTTTTTATTATTTATAAATGTTAAATGAGAGGTGAGAATTTATGCTGATGATTCCAAAAACTGTAGTTCTAAAATATTATTTTAGAGTGAATGCCAAAAGAATTCAGTCTATGAAAATTAATAGCTGGCCCTATTAGAATTTTTTAAAAATCTATTTTCTTATTTAAACTGTAACTCCATTACTTCCCAATATAATGCAATCTAATACACTTTTTCTATGTTTGGAAAATCGGCTTTCTACCATTTTAACTGTCAAAACTTTTAAATAAAAATTTAAGTAACTGTGGCAGGGTAATTCAGTAAGGTAACACTTTTGTTTCCCTTTGGCCAGTACAAAAGAATTTCAAAAAATGAGAGCTACTGTTCCTTGCCTGCCACGCTACCCAAGAACAGGTCTCAGGGAGCTTCTGAGTGAGGGGCTGCTCTGGAACCCAGTGTGTGGGAGGAAGAGGGACAGGGCAGGCTTGACAGCCAGTCTCTCTAGGAAGGCAAACCCCAGGTGCAGGAGGCTCCAGCTTCATCAAAGACCCCTCCCCATCTCACAAACACCCCAGACCAGCTTCATGCAGAACTGCCCACCTTCATGGGGCCTGGTGGGCTTGAACAAGGAGTAGCACACAAAAAGCATAGCATGACTGATGTAGGTGAAGACTAGAAGGCTCTCTTCAAATATTCTACCACCAGGGCCCGAGGAGTGGGGACTGACTCAGACTGGCTTTCCACCAGCCAGGTTGAATTGAGGCTCAATGCAGAGTACATTTGAATTAAAGGAACAAGAAAATATAACATTTAGAAAATGGAAAAAAATTCATCCCTGCACCACAACGTCTTCCATTAGTGCATGACAGCAACTCTTAACACTGTAACATTTGCTCAGTGGTCCTTCCCCACCAAGGACGATCGCACTGTCAAGGGGACGGTCATGTCTGGGTCCGCAGAGCACATTACAGTGTTCTGTCTCACCAGACTCAGACAAGATGGTATCAGTGCACAGTGAACCTGCTCCGCAGGAATCTTGGCCAAACTGCCTTTTCAAAGTTAGTTTCCTCACCAGCCAAATGGGGGTAACAATAATACTCTTGTGGCAAAGTTAAGTTACTGCAAATTTAAATCATGTTTTATTTTTGCCACTGTAGAACCATCAGAAAGAATTTCACTTCCTCCTAGACCAATGAGAAGAAGGGACCTCTAGTCCAATTTAATCTGACTCAAACACACACTTTAAATGAAACAATGGATGTCATAAATGCTATGTCAATTTTCACACAATGTACAGATGTTAATTTTTGTTATTAAATCCATTCACTTCATACAATATGGCAGGAAGACCTAAGATATCTGGGCTCCTGTACCAGCCCCACCTCTGTATAGCTTCTAGGACCATGTCTTCCTCATCTGTAAAATGGGAACATACTCTTTGCCTTACCGCACCTCACAGGGTCCTATTGTGAGGCTCAAATGAGATAATATATGTGAAAGAGCTGTGGAGAGTGTTAGACAGGGGTGATCTATAAGCAAACCACAAACCAAAGTCAGCAATATCACTTTACAGTAAAATTCTGTGAGCTTTGAGCATTGAAAAGGGATTACAACTGACTGATTAGGTTTAGATGGCTAGATAAAAAAATACAATCTGCACTAAAAACAAAAAACTTGAATAACCCAAATGTCCATCAATAGATAAATGTCAAACACTAGAATACTCACAGCAAGAAAAATGAATGCACTTTAGCACACGCTGCACACAATATTGATAAGAAGAACCAAGACATGAAACAAGACACCATGATTCAATCATTTAATGTTAAAAACAAGCAAAATAAACTAATTTCTTCAGGGAAGGCTACATAAGTAGTAAAATTATAATCAAAAGTAGGAAATAATTATTGCAAAGTCAGATAGGGGTTTCCTCTGATTGGGGGGATGAGATGGTGAGAATGTGATCAGGGCAATGCCCCTGGGGGACTTTGGGGGATGCTGGCTGTGGTCAACTTCATTTACACACACACACACACACACGAGACCATACGTGTGTGTATTTTACATACTTTCTATATGTATATTATGTTTCATTACAAAGGAAAGACCAACAATAACAGAAGAGCCAATGGGATTCTATACAAATTAAAGTTATATCAACAGTGCTCCACGAGACCATACGTGTGTGTATTTTACATACTTTCTATATGTATATTATGTTTCATTACAAAGACCAACAATAACAGAAGAGCCAATGGGATTCTATACAAATTAAAGTTATATCAACAGTGCTCCATTTTTTTTTTAACTTTTGCTAAGAGTTTGTTTTAATTTCAATCTCAGATACACTAAACTAAGAAATGACTCAGTTGAGATTTTATTTAAAATAAAACACCTTCAAAAAGAAAGTATAGTCATTAAGCAGGTCATGGTGATTCAAGTTGACTACTTGTCTACTTATTAATAATTACTGATTGCTCAGAAATTTTCAGGGTCAAACTAAAATTTCTAGTATTAGCCATAAAAAGACTACAGGGCCATGGTCATCACTAGAGCATATCTTATACCACCAACCTAAAACAAAGCGCAAGGTTACATGGATGACTTGGGCACACCATGACTTACCAGCTGGCTGTGTTTGTGCTACTCTCTTAGGGTAAGTCTTGCTTCGACTTCTTGCCACATTCTGATCAGGCCGGGGAAGTTGGATAGAAAGATCTCGGCTCATTTGCAAAGCTGTCCTGCCACTTGAAAATGCAACATTTTGATTAGCAAAGGTAAAACCACACAACCACAAAATTAAACGATGGCTCATTCAGAATATCTGCAAAGTACAGAGAGAAGAAAAAATATACAGACTCAACTGGCCATAAGCATACAGGGTTGTTTTAACTGGTTCTCATTGCAATATTGACCAAAGAAATAGTATTAAATTCTAGGAGGGATATATGTTAGACAGAAAGAGGATCTTTCAGAGGGAGAAGCAGGAAGAGTTTATTAAAGGAGGAGACAGATTTGGATTTAAGTAGAATGATGGGCTGGACCTCAAGAGTGCTGATGGTCTTTGAGCTCTACACCCAAAAGATGAAGAAATTATGTTTGAGCTAACTTATGCAAGAGCAGTGATTCCACATGACCATGTTGTATTTACACGGCAAGGTGTACAGCATTCCCCACAGGACCACCCAGTTTGATTTTATTCTGAACACTGCCATGGTGCTATCAGCTACTTATGATGCCCACCTTGCCTGTGCCAGACCAAGTGCCCAGGGAGACTGAAAATCTTCAAGCCCCATGCAAAGTGCTTCTTCTCCAAAAATTCCATGAGGATTCAAGAGAGCAAGATTTTTTTGGCGCTGGCCTAGCCTCAAGTAATTTTCCCCAGGAATCATGTAATTTCATTTGCTGGGTTTCAGTGAACATTCACCTTACTAAAAATTTATTCCATATTGCTGAATTTGAACCAGTGAATGACCCTGGCTTTCACACAGAAAATATCATTTAGATACAGGAAAAAATGAATTTCTATATGTCTAGTTTGATTTACCACAAGTGGAGCCACCTACAGGAGGAAATAAAAGCCTTTTAATGGTCCCAAATTGTATTTATTCCTATATTTACAGGATAAATATTGGCCAATGTTTCCCCAAAAGAGATTAAACGAGGCCTACAATGTAAAATTTATTTCATACATGCTTCTGTGCAAGTTTCCCCTCCTCACTACCCACATCCATCTTTATTAGAAATGAAGCCCACAACACTCATAATAAATGACTCATGAGGCTAACTGGGGACACCACTTGGTATGAGCTACCACGGGATGACAGGTCTCATCTATGAGTGTACTTCATGTTCAATAGTTCATGAGGATTGAGGAGGGAAGGAAAATGTGCCAGGTTTTCTTTCATTTGAAATTTAACGACTTGTTTAAAAGGTACAAAAGGTAACACAAATTTCTGAAAAGCTAAAAAAATTCCATACACAGAGTAAAATTCCATTACTATAAATGGTTCTGAGTATGAGGGTAAGACCTACTTACAACACACTTTCTCTGTTATCAGAACAACTTGGGCACTGTTTAATTCATTGCATAGAGGAAAGAATATTTGCCCTAAATACTATATCCCAATATGCGGACCACTGAGGCATTTTATAATGAGATTTTACTTTATTATTCAATCTTTCCTCATGGTTTCTCTCTCAGGAGCAAAGGAGAAACAAAAAAATCATATCACAAGATTAACTTCTATGGTCCAGAAACATAAACTGATCTGTCACAGGCTGTACAGGATCCAGGACTAGTACAAGCTTTCTAACCTCCGGACAGTCAGTATAGCACAGCCTGCTGGTGTAAGAACAAGGGACAGAAACACTTATCCATTTGGTTTCTACTTGTTCTTATTATTTCCTAGCAGAAATACTCTTGTGTAGTGTTCTTACTAATTCCTTGTAGCAGAAAGTGATTAAGTATAGAGATTTACAGTAGAATGTAGCTCTCTGATATAACAGGACAGAGCTTTATTTCCATCATCACCCACATCTCCGCCTCCTCACACTCTGGCACACACCTCCTTTTATGTTCAGTGGCACTGCCAGCAGCCCTTCAGCCTCAATGTGAGTGGGAGAGAAAAGAACAAGACGAGAGATACCCAGGTTCAAATCCCAGCTTTGCCACTTACTGGTTAAAGGGTCTTAGTCCAATTACTTTACTTTTGGAGGCTCCAATTTCTTCTCTGTATAAACAGGGATTAAGTAGCATACGTGAAAGCACCTGACACAAAAGAGGACTCTCTTACATGCTTCAGGAAATGTGAAATGCCAGGAGAGCTCCTGTGATTGAGTCCTACAAGCAGGACATCTGTGTGCCCATGGGGTTTCTCAGGCCTTGTTCTCATTGAGTATAAATTCTACACAACTCATTCATTCATCAAAACTAAGAGTCCCCTACAAACTTAATTATGGGTAAAGGCAAGGTTAATTTTTAAGGGGCCCAGAGAAGGAGATACCAATGGGTAACAAAATATTTAATCAACCAAAGATTTAATCGATCTCTATTTCAGATTACTGATCTCTGACAATTAAACAATAACCAAAGAATTTTAGAATGTCAGATTTCAGCTCAGGCTTTCCCCACAAATTTAAATTTGAAATTTGTCCCATATCACTAAAAAGTCTGTTTTTTGCTTTCTTGAGTAATGACTAATTTTCCCAAAAAGTGTAAAAATCTCCATGGCATTTTGCAAGCCCTAAAATGCACAGAGACACACACACCACTACCAACACATACACCATTGTACAAACACACACCTGACACCCACATTCTCACACTGCAGCCACTTGTTATGCTGTTCTTTAGCCCCCATGCTATAAAAGCCTGCAGGGTGCAGGGTGCAGGAGGGGGCTGTCTTGTTCCCAGAGCTCTGCTTTCACTCCAGGACATTCTCCAGAGTGTCTCAAGAAAGGGCAAAGCATATGATGCTGGTTAAAGGCTGGTTGTTTGTCCTCTTTTGACAAATATGTGTTAACAACCACCCAACAATGAGAGATCTGTCCCTGCCTAAGCTCTGGGTAGTGGGATGAAACATCTTTCTTCTGAGGGTGGTATAAGATTAGTGTTTCTATACACAGACATGTAGACTTAGGTTTCATTAAGACTTACTAGACAGTTAACATCAGCAATGAAATTCGAAGAGACTTAGCAGAGCCTCCAATTCTATAAAGGTTACTTTTAATTACCTTCTTGGAAAAAATATTTAATAAGCAAAATCCAATAACTTTCTAATAATAATTCCCAGTAGCCACAACATTTGCTTTTCAATAAATTTGGGAAATCAGGTACAGCTAAATTTGTGGAAGCCAACTACAGCTATGTTAAACAGCATAAATTGTTTTTTCAAACAATTCTAATAGTTTGAACATTAAGACAGATGCCTTTCCACTAGCTACATTTCAATGACATGGAGATAGATTTACATTCTCTCTATCACTGTGGCAATGTTTTATGCCACAACTGAAAGAATAGCCCAAATACTAGCTATCAGCTGTTCTTCTCAATATAAAAGTAAATAATCTTTCCTTAAATTCCTCACAATTATATCACCATCTACAGAAGAACCTTGATAGCCTAAGGGTTACATTTTAGATAATTATATAAATAGCAAGAATATCTATAATAAAATAACACTTAATTTTCTATTTAGTCATCAAATGAGCAAATATCCAAGTGAATAATAGGTAAAGACAAATGCGCTGAAAATTTAATATGAATCACTCTTTTCTTGATTATCTTTGGTCTCAAATTCAAGACCCAAAAAGTGGGTTATAAAAGAAAGGAATTAAAATCTGGCATACTATTGTCCTACAAACACTTGACTGGGCTTTATTTTTAAGTCTCTTAGGGAAGTACTTCATTCGGTGATGTCTACAATGGAACTGATAGGACAGTGTCCCATCTCCTGGGTGGCATTTCTGCACCCTGCTTCGGTTTTATAAGGCCTGGGGACCTACCTCACTGACTGAATAATACTGCAGCTCTTTGAAGGCAGAGGAGGTTAGATCTGATTCTTCGCACCTAAATACCATGCCTTGTACAACACAGGCTCTCCACTGAACAGATTAAATTGAAACATAACAATTTTTTCAAAATATAGAATTGACTCCCATGTTTAATGCTGGTATTAGAAAAAGACACAAGCACCTGCCGACCTGCACGGTGATCAGGCTTTTTCCGCAACAGGCTAATAGTCTGCCTGAAGGTTCAAGTCATGGGCTCTGAAGTTAGACCATCAGGATATGGATCCCACTTCACTTCTTCCTAGCTGGGCTACCTTGAGAAATGGCTTGGCCTTCTGAACCTTAGTTTTCTCATTTGGTAATAGACATAATATTACAGATTAGACCATCAGGATATGGATCCCACTTCACTTCTTCCTAGCTGGGCTACCTTGAGAAATGGCCTGGCCTTCTGAACCTTAGTTTTCTCATTTGGTAATAGACATAATATTACAGAAGACTGATGATTAAATGAAGCAATAAATGGAAAGCATTTAGCACAATACACGGCACTTAGTAACTGCTCAATAAAGTTGAGCTATCTTTGCTATCACTACTATATACAGACTTTATGGTGCAGAGAAAACATGGTGTGGTACACAATATAAAGTATCCACTGTGTTACAACAGGAGATCAATTGAATGTTCTAAGATCAATCAATCAGCTACTGTTCAGAATATCTTGTTTTGTAATCACAGAACATAATTAGAAATAAGCAATAATTGTATCAAAATGAGTTTCCGAAGATAATATATTCTACTGCGTTCTAAAAGCCTTAAACTTAACAAAGCTAATGCAGACATTAAATATAATTAGATCTGGAAAATCATTTTTGTCAAGAAAGAAAGTTTTAATAAACTGTTAGGCTTACAAAACACATTGGCACTGTGTAAGAAGAAAAGAAAAATATTAAATCACAGACTTCGTTTTACATGTATGTGGATAGCTGAATTAAATATATATTTACACACACACACCCCAAGTAAAAAATGACATTTACCTATATCGGTGCTTGTAACTTATGGATCCAAACTTGCTGAGTTTTCTTGACAATGAATTTGACTCATTTTCTGGCATTCTAATTAATATTTAAAAGAAAATTAAAGACTCATAAACACAAATACACAACATTTGAACATAAAGCTATGTAAAAAATATTAACACTGCAACACTTGAACAGAGCTAGTCAAAGTATTTTATTTAATCTACATATTGGCAGGAAATAGTAATCAGCTATTTTAAGCTAATTTGAAACACAACCACACCCTAGGATTTTATATACATATAATACCAAATACTCATACTTTCTGAAGACTATCATATACATAATTGCCCTAGGAAGCTTTAGTTGTGATTCAACTTACTTTCTCTGCTTAAATTATCTTGAGAATTTTGTCACTGTATTGATTTATTCATGTCAAGGTTTTCATGGCAGTTAATCATATCGAATGTGGTGGCTCACTCTTATTTATACAATCTATTCCAGTACCTCCTATTTTCAATAGACACCACCATGGGGAGCTCCTTGGCCCAGCCATACTGAGCTGTACGCAATGCCTAAGGCTTTCTGGGCCACATCCCTCCCCTAATACAAAACTGTATAAAGGACAGCAGTCATTTTACAATACATCTCCAACGTCATACTGATATCCAGGAAAATTGCTCCATGCAAATCAAATAGAAATAAGGGGAAGAATCCAATCTTGTTTCAACTAAATTAAGCTTTATTTTTTGGTTTTTTATTACCTGCTAAAATTTTGTATTAACTTTACAACGTAAGGACATGAAACAAACAAAAAACGTTATTCCCACAATCCAATGGTCAATTCTCTGTCCTTATTCTACTTGACCTCCCAGGAATACTGCATGCAATTGCCAACACCCTGTTCTTCAAGACCCTGTCCTCCCTCACTTCCCAGGACACAACACGCTCTCCTCAGCTGGTTCTTCCAAATGCAGGAGGGCCTCAAAGCTCAGTCCAGGGCTTTATGCTTCTTGCTCTCTTTACTTTTTCCACAGGGATGTCATCCAGCCCCTCCTGTCTTAAATACCTACCAAAGTTACATCATCAACCTTGGTCTTTCCAGTGAACTTGTACATCCAACTGCCTTACTACATCCCCACATAGTTGGCAAATAGGCATTTCAAACGTAGTACAACCACAACAGAACACTTAATTTTTACCAATACCACACAGGTGCTGGCCAAAGCTGCACTTTTGACATAAATATTTAAAAAAATATATATTACTCCAGATGCTTCCTTATAGTGTGAGCAAAAAAGATATATCTATATGTATATGTGTACATGTTCATTTAAATACATACACGTATATTACACATATGCATTTACATACATACATGTATATATGTGTGTATATATATGTTTGAATTAATACAATTGAGAGAATTAGGAACTGAAAAAATTAATTAAAAGGACAAACTTCTAAATTTCTGTTCATAAACAGAATTCCTCTTATAAAAAACAAATGCCACTTTAATTTATTAGAAAAAAGAACAAAACTTTCACATTAGCATACCTGAAAAATGTATGTTGTTCTACACTGCACTTCCAGAGATGCTTGCAAGCAGTTTTACTTCGAGCTTCAAAAAAGAATGAGGTTTCATTGCACTGAGAGAGAAAGCGAGAGAGAAAGCGAGAGAGAATACGAATTACTGACCATAGCATTCTTCAGATGACAGTCCTCTCTAGGTAACAAAAATTCAAGCAAGCAGAGAGATTATCACTAACACATAAACAATGATTATTTCTTGGTAACTATCTTTAGAGGGTTGCATTAAAATCATCTCCCAGTAACTAAAATTACAAAATATAAATTCTATTTAAATCTTACTGCAGTCACCTTTATTACCTACTTCTACATCACACCATGACTATGGATAACTCAGGCGACAGTTTTGAAGTACTGCAAAATCTTCCCTCATAAATGGCTGCTGATGGACGAAAAACACTCACTGTGTGGAAATCAACTCCCAATAACAAAGGAGATGCCCGTAAATTCAGTCCTTAACTGTACTCATAAACACAAAATTGTCAGTACAGAGGAATAACTGAAGTCCTTTTTTTTTTTTTTTTTTTTTTTTTTTTTTTCAAAAAAAAAAAAAAAAA